GGCTAGACATGGAGCAAAGGTACACACATGTGCTCGAAATCAGAAGGAACTCGATAAATCTCTGGAGCACTGGCAAAGCTTGAAGCTTGATGTCACAGCCTCTGTGTGTGATGTTTCTTCACGAGCAGAGAGAGAGAAACTAATTGAGACAGTGTCTTCTTTGTTCCAAGGAAAGCTCAACATACTCGTTAAGTATAACAATCTCCATCTTCGATTACGCTTATAATTACGTAGTTCACTAATTAAACAAGTTGTGTCTATGTATGTATGTATGTAGATCAATAATACAGGGACGAACGTACATAAGCCTGCCTTCGAAATTACAAAAGAAGATTATAAATTTTTAATGTCGACAAATTTGGAATCTGCTTTCCATTCGAGCCAATTGGCTCACCCGCTTATGAAGGCATCTGGGATCGGCAATATTTTATTCATTTCCTCCACCGGAAGTTTAATGGCATTTCCACTATTAAGTCTTTATGGTGCCACTAAAGGCAAGTGACATTATATAGGCTTTTTTTAAGCTGCATCTATTATCTTTATTAGATTTATTTTGCTTCTAATCAAGGCATATTGAGCAGAACAGCTGTTAAAATTCGCACAGCAAAATAACAAAATGACTCAAAAGAAAACTTATCTGATTGAAGTTCCCCGGAGCAATAAAAGACAAAAGGCTGTTAGAAGAGTTGAAATCTAATCTTCGATCATGAGAGAAAAATCGAACAACATCAAGCCATATGAAATCAAAGGCCCTAAAAATGAGTCACTAAGTATCCCTCTATGCATCAATGATAAAACTATCTGTCTTAATTTTAACAATCTTTGATCTTGATTTATTTTTATCTTGCAACTCATTCTTATCCGGGTAAAGCTCTCATTTTATGGAAATTTTATCCATGTAGCCATTATAAACAATAATTTCATTTTAGCTTCAAGAATTTAAGATTCTACATCATCTACGAGTTATCATTTTCGTTTCTAATTGTATCACCAAATCACTCGTAATATTACATTCATATCATCTACATCATCAACTAATCCACCCTTCCAATATGAAAGATCATTGAATTAATGATAAACCATATTTGTATGATTCAATGTCAGGTGGAATGAATCAGCTGACGAAAAGTTTAGCTTTGGAGTGGGCAAAAGATAATATTCGAGTCAACTGTATTGCACCTGGACCGATCATAACTCCATTGTTATTATCCGTGAGCTTCAAAAATTGAATTATAGATGCTACACACACACAGACACAAAAATATATGTATATACATATATACTCATTTGATTAATTGAATCAACTAATTTGGAATTATAATTGTTGCAGTATTTTGAAGCGGAGGGTAGCCTTTCTAAAGTAGAAAATATGGGTGTTCCTCTTGGAAGGATTGGAGAGCCAGTGGAGATCGCAACAGTTGCTTCATTCCTTGTCATGCCTGCATCATCTTATATCACTGGTCAAGTAATTGTTGTAGATGGGGGTAAGACTATGGGTCGTTTTGCTCCATAAAGTTATTAATATCCTTATTAATGCATCGATTTAGTTAATTATTCTCTATAAAAAACGATGTTTGTACTAAAAAATTTGGGTAAGCCTATAAATAAGGGTCAAGTTGTCTTGATCTATGTGATATTATTGGCACAGAGGTTGCCATCTTTGGTCTCTGGGTATTGTAATTCATGGTTTTAAAATAAATTTGTTGTACTAGTTCTTCAGAAGTTTTGATAAAGAGATTATATTGAGGTTGTCCCTTCAAAGTACAGCTTATTGGAATTCTTGGTTATTGGAGTAGTGCAAATAGAAATGCTTACAAGAATTTAATTTTGCAAACCTTGAGAAAATTTCAATTCAATCTTTAGCTGAATGAGTGTTTCTATGCCTGATTTAAACCTTGAGAAAATCCAAGGTCTCATCCTGGTCACAAAATTATCCCCCTCGAGGTAGACGACTTGATATGGAGGACGTTAAGCACTGATACACACCATAATCTCTTTATTGATTGTATTTTGCTTCTTTTTTGTTTTATTTTGAGCAAATTTTAGAATAAATACTTTATTAGTAATATATTAATAATTAAGATCATCTGAACAAAAATTTTAGAATTGGGCACTCCCAAAATTTTATTAGAAAGTATTCAAGGTACAAGGACAAATATTAGAAGGAAAAATAAAGGGAGTAATATAAACACATTGAATAGAAGAGCTGCTAAAATCTGCACAAAAAAAGCAACAAAATGCCTGTTGGTCGGGGCTCAGCTTATTCGATTAAAACTCTTTGGAGCCATCAGAGGGCCAAAGAATCGTTAGAATGGTCAAAAGCAAATATAGGATCTTGAGAGATAGACCAAGCATCCAACCATATGAAATTAAAGACCTAATAAATTAGCCTATAAGTTGCTCCTCACATGAGAAATCATCACAACACTTCTGAATTCCCATATTTCTTGTTTATTACTTTCAAATATTTTGTCTTTCGACCCAAGAGAGTAAAATCAGTTCTTACAAATGTATTTTGTCCCACAATATCATTTTGTTCTTCGTTGTTCTAGTCCCTCTCACGTTAGGTCTAGGGTGACAGTCTGCACCCTCAAAAAAAAAAAAAAGATTAGTTCCACCCCTGAGTAGGGAACAAAACCTGCTCTGTGATGTTGTAAAATATGTGTTGGAGTACTCTCATTCTCCCAAGGATCCCAAAACAAACTGATATTACTCCCATCCCCAATAGAGTTGGAAAAACTTTCCTTTTTAGATTTTCTTTGTCTGTTGGAGCTTGGAAAAGACATTGTAATTTGGAGGTACAACATTATTTTTTTCTATAGAAAGATTTACATGCATACCAATAAAATCTTAGTTATTTACACATTTAACCCAGCCTTCAAGTATCATGAAAGTATCTATTTCACTTATTGAAAGTTAATATGGTGATATTATTAATATGATATAAAAGAATTAGGTGGTATAAGTCGTAGTTTAGGTGTTAAATAAAAGTTGTAAACTTGGCTTTTCTTTTTTCTTTTTGAAATTTTTTGCTCCAATTAGGTGGAATAATAAGTGAAGATTGTGAATGGAACTTTTTTATTATCATTTTTAAAATTATTTGGACAATTAAATTAATTCAAATTTTAAAATTTATTATTAGAAATAATTTATTTTAATTTTAGGTTAATTATTAAATTAAAATTTAAGAAATTTAAATTTTATGTTGTTGTATTTAAAAACAAAGTAAATAATTCTTTCGATTATGATTAATTAATTTAATTTAAGTTATTGATAAAAACAAAATGTCTATCACGTGAACAACTATAAAAAAAGGGCATTTGCATGCATACCGCCCAATTGCTATGAATTTACAAATTTAACATTTAAATTGTACTTTCTACATTTATTCCACTGAAATGTTTCATATCATAATAATCAATATTTTAACTTTTAAAAAAATTAAATATAACTTTCATGCAAAGATCAGGTGGCCTATAAGTAAAAAATTTAAGTTTTGATGTTAGTTATGTAAATACATTTTCTAACTTATTTGCATATCACCCTATGGATGAAGCCGCCAAGCCAATCGGTTAATTTTTTTAGTGTTATTAATTGCTATTAATATTTCGTATTTTGTATTTATTATTTGATGAATAACGAAATTAATAATAATAATAATAATAATAATAATAATAATAATAATAATTTTTATATTAATATTAATTATTAAATAAAAATGTATGCTAAAAATTAAAAGTAAATTTATAAATAATAGCTTAAGAAACCGAAAATAAATAATAAATTTATATTATTACTATTATTTTTAAAGGAAAAATAAAAAATATATATAGCTAATAATAATAAATTTAAAGTATTTCTATTACAAAAAATAAAAAATCGAAGATTAAATTAAATTTATAAATAATAAGTTTATAGTATTAATTTTATTATTAAAACATATAAATACAAAATAAAAATTAACTTAAAAATAATAAATTTTAGCATTACCACAATTAAATAAAAAATAAACCGAAAATAAAAATAAATTTTAAAGTGATATATTTATAGTGTTACTATTATTATTAAAAAAGGAACAAAAAATAAAAAAAAAACAAATTTAAAAATAATCAAATTATAGGATTTCAGGGGGTGTAAATGTGCCGAGTCAAGCTCGAACCTTGTCATTATCTAGGTATGCTCATCTGCCAAACTGTGAGCTCAAGCTCAAGCTTAGCACATAGTGGTGGCAGCTGACTTACAAGCTTGCACTAAAAATCTAATTTTAGGGGAGCTCGCTAGAAAATGTATTGGTGGGCGGAGGAGGTTCATGCACAGCTCTTCAAAAAATGCATGGAAGTGATTGTAAACAGATTAATCGAGTCGGCTCATGATGCAACAAGCCAAGCTCAAGCAAGCTAGGTTTACTTGCACCCCTAAATAATACTAATATAATTAAAAGATGAAAACCGAAAATAAAAATTGAGCATAAGAATAGTAAATTTATAGTATTTCTATTATTATTTAAAAAATATAAATTGCAATTAAACTTTGATGAAGATAAATTTGCCACTACTATTTCATAGTGACAATATTTATTAAAGTATGTAGTAATAATAATGTTAAAATAGTATTAGGAGAAATAAAATGGTCCGGCGGGACATATTATATTCTGGCGGTTGTTTTGTAGCTCTCACGCCAACAAGTCTTATTTTTTATGATTTGAGCTGAGAAAAAAAAAGCACAAAAAAACAATCATAATTGCAGCAATATTCAGATACGAGATTATAGGCAAGCAACCTCGTCCATCGGCAGCACCTAAAGTCATAATCCTAATTTTCCGGCGAGACTAATGTTTTCCACAAGCGGAAAGACAAATTCTCGAGTTAGTTGTTTTATTACTATTAATGCTTTTATCCTTCTACATATAACGTAATTGATGAGGCAATGATTGTTACATATAATATATATTTATGTTTATGTGGGCTATATATTTCTCTTCGTATATCGGCCACAAGTAACTTATCATCTCTGTTCATCATTTAGATATGGCGACGGCTGATTTTGAGAAGAGATGGTCTCTTCAGGGAGCCACCGCTTTGGTCACCGGTGGCTCCAAAGGAATAGGATTTGTTCTCTCCTCCTTCTAATTTCTACTATTTTTTTTGAAGATTAATGAAGTCTGTACCAATCATAATTAACCATATGATAATATAAAGGAAAGCAATAGTTGAGGAGTTAGCAAGACTGGGAGCAAAAGTACACGCATGTGCTCGGAATCGACAAGAGCTAGATAAGTCTCTGCAGCACTGGCAATCCCTGAAGCTTGACGTCACTGCCTCCGTATGTGATGTTTCTTCTCGAGCTGAGAGAGAGAAACTAATGGAGAATGTCTCTTCTTTGTTCCAAGGAAAGCTCAACATACTAGTAAGTAACTAAATGCATTTTTAATTGTATATATATATATAGAGAGAGAGAGAGAGAGGGAGAGAGAATTTATTCTTCATATAAGTAGCTATATTTAAAATGTTTGTATGTATGTAGATTAATAACGCAGGGACGAATTTATTTAAGACTGCTCTGCAATTCAAAGAAGAAGATTATGATTTCTTATTGTCAACAAATCTGGAATCTGCATTCCATTTGAGTCAATTGGCTCACCCACTTCTCAAGGCCTCGGGAATGGGCAGTATTGTGTTCATTTCCTCTGTCGCAGGTCTTGTTGGATTTCCAGAATCAAGTGTTTATGGCATCACTAAAGGTAAGTGGTAAAATGTAAAAACTATTTTCAGAATAGATATGTTGGCATAATTTGATCTATTTTGCATTTTATTCTGCCATTTTTTTTCAAAATTTATTTTTTTATTTATATGAAAATTGTTTATTTACAGATAAAATTAACTATAATTTCTTGTTCTTTTTTTTCCAATTAATGACTTGCTAAGCTGCTTTAAAAACCTCTTATCTTTGTAAAACACGTGGTGTAAAATTCTAAATTATAATTCATTGTTTGTGTGCGAAAAAACAAATAAGAACTTGGAGTCAACAAAATTATTTATTTATTTATATTAATTCACTTGACCGATACTAATTTAAATCTCCCAATAGTTCTCCTAAAAATTTTTCAAATTTTACCATGCATGCATGATAACACGTATATCACAGGAGCAATGAATCAGTTAACCAGAAATCTAGCTTTGGAGTGGGCAAAAGACAACATCCGAGCAAATAGCATAGCCCCAGGGCCAATAGTAACTCCATTAATGCATGCTGTGAGAACAAAAACTACAACTCAAGCTCCATCAAATTTACACACAAACACATTTAATATGTTTAATTTGTTTAAAATTGTAATAATTACAGTATTTTGAAGCGAAGGGCACCATTCCTGCAATAGAAAGTATGGGAATTCCGCTAGGACGTGCAGGTGATCCAGTGGATGTGGCCACAATCGCAGCATTTCTTTGCATGCCTACATCTTCTTATATCACGGGTCAGGTTATTGTTGCCGATGGGGGAATGACTATGGGACGTTTTGCTTCATGAAGCTAACTAATTATCAAATATTTCCAAGGATTTGAATAGTTATCCCAGCCCTGCTGTTCTTCTTTGTTTTTAAAAAATCTTTTTGTTGATGTTTCTTGTGTGTATTAAATAATTGGGATAAGTCAATTAATAGTTTTGATGAGTTATATATTCAACTGTGTGATAATCCATGCTTGAGAAAACCTTCTTTTAATTTGGATATTGCTTTAGATATATATATATATGCACCTGGACCGATC